GGTGATCATAGTGACAGGATCAGCCCCTTTGTTGGACAAAGGTAATGATCAGGGATGCACTATCTCTGATGGAAACCAAGACTGTCGACAACCGATTTCAATCGTTGAGATTTGTTTTGCAAAATATATTTTATATGAGATATAAAAGTATATATATTACGGTTTCTAAACGTTTGCAAAAGGTTTTAAATCCCGGGATCCATGCGGGTAGAGAGTGCAACACTGTTCTTTGCAGCCGAGGGAGAGGTCATCTCTTATCGGACAGTGTTTGATCATTATGGGCTGAGAGGTTAAGTGTAAGGTCATTGAGGGTAATACCTGATGGGCTAATCTTGCATTTGCCCACAGTCCCTGGGTGTTACAAGGTGGCTTGGCCCAGGGACCACTTAGGGTAAGTGTTGGGCCCATAGAGCCCATGTGATGGGTTTTAGGGGGTGCACTGTCCATAATAGTGTATTCGGTCAGGCCTTGTAATGAAGGCTGGGCTGAACCCATGTGGCTGATGTGTAGATCAATGTTTGGGTCCCACACCTTACAAGGAAGCCCAACTAGGTAGCAGTTTGGAAGGCTAAGTGAGCACATATCCTTATTGGGCCTAAAGCCCATTTCGAACTGTGTTGATTTGATCAGTTAAATGAGGGGCGGATTCTGAGATTAGATTAGCAGATTTAGAAACCTCCTATTGGGATTAGGAAAGAGCTGATCTAATCTGCAAATAAGATAAGGGTTTACCCTTATCACTTAAAGGGAATTCTGATCCAAATATGATTTGGATCAACAACTCCTAATGGGATTAAGAGCTGATCCCTTTAAGCTTATAAAAGGAGGAGGGGGCGATAGCCTTTGAAGATATTCATATTCACATTCTCTTCAGAGCTGAAATCACAGAAGAAAGAATTCAGCACGTCTGCGAAAATTCTTTCTTGCCGCCTCCTTCCTGTTGCCGCCATATCTGCCAGTTCGATCTCCTATTCTCAGTGGGAGTGATCAAGATTAGATCTTGATAACAGTTCTTTGTTAAAGGACTGATTGGAAGTTGTGCTCACGTGCCGTCCAACTGATTTTTGCGAAGGATCTGGTTCTTTTGAAGAATGTTGCTGATTCTGCTCCATCTTACACTGTGCCATATTCAGTGGACGCAGTCTTTGGTTCCTTCCTTGGGCGTGAACACCTCCATTGGGAGATATTGTTTCTCCGTATCAGGTATATCCCTCTCATAATATTTTTGTTCAGATCTGGTTCGGTTCTTGATTCAATATTGAGCATTGAAAAATGTTTTTTCTAAAATAGGGAATACAATTCCCAGTAGGATGGAAAGAAATATTTTGAAATTCGCCCATTCTATTCTGCAAGATTCGGGCATCCATACGATGGATCTCTCATCATTTCAATCCGATGGATCCTTATCAGTTTTGGATCAATCAAATTTTTTATCAAATTGGATTGGATATGCCCTTTATTGAATCTGATCCCATCCTTGCCCCTGTCAACTCAAGGTTGTATCCCCATAGACCCATTTCCGAACTTGTCTAAAATCTCAACCTAGTTTCTTTATAGAATGGAACTGAACGACCCAACGATATTCACTGAAGCAAGTAACAGGTCAACAGCTCCCACACTCTATGGGGAGTTTAGATCTGCTCTTCACAGAGCGCATCTCACATCGATCTCATAGCATATCCTAGCTGCACATTGAAAACATCTCCCGTACTTATATTTATTATTTATGGGTTGGATGTAGCTGTGAGGAGCAAATCCAAATACGTCGATGGGTTATTGGGATCTGAACCTAATTCTTGATAAGCATAATTTGCTTAGAGGAATAAAAGTCCAGAGATAACTGATTACTACCCAATGGAGTTGACATTTGAGTAGGCTAGTTGAGCAAGAACCTGTTGTAAAGAAAGAGATTGGCTTGGTCAGTGCAATGTCCGTTTGAACAGCCTTTACAGTCTTTTTGCATTGGGAACGTTGCAAGAGACTGTTGGAGCAGTATGAGCACGGACTTGCACTGACCGAAATTGAACTCGTCGTAAATATGTTAAGGGGTGGGTCTTGCCTGCAGGCTGCAGCAGCCATGGTCAACCCCCAACTCGATTAGCTTACTTCAGTTTTAATAAGAGAGAAGCTGGTAAAGCAAATGGCGTAAGAAGTGAGCCTTCTCTCGCTGTCTTTAGTGGAAGAGTCGGGCATGAATCATGTAATTTGAGACTGAACTGTGTAATAAGTAAAACCAAATCCGCCAGTCCTCACTCTTCATGCATCTCAAGAAATTTTCATGTAATTAATTAGTCTAAAAACTAATCGAGAGAGTTATTATGTTAATGGCAATTATTATTCTAATATTGGATTGGAGGCCCACCAGAC